CCCCAGCTCAATGGGACGGAACAGAGACTCTGGTCTGATCACTGATTTCAGATCCTGTTTCAAGTTTGATACGAAGCAGAGCTGAAACTGAATCATCACATCTGCTGCTGAGGATTTCTTTCTTTTTTTTAAAACCCGGGGCTGCTTCAGCCTCGCCATATCGATGTAACCTTACACTGGTGTGCAAGAGGATCAATGTCTGTGTGAAACTGCTGCAGTGTACAAAAAAGGAGGCCACATGTGAAGGAAGAGCACAAGACTCGCCATCTATCATCTCAGAGGACGATGTATTAGGGCTGTGCGATTATGGCAAAAATCATAGTCACGATTATTTGGGTCAATAATTGATATCACGATTATTTTGACGATTATTCATTGAACTTTAAAACAAATAATATTTTACCAATAAACAAGATCAACAAATATGTTGGAGCGCACTTCCAAAACCATATAAACATAGATTATTAATATGATAAATAAAAATAAATTAGACCAAAATAAATGAAATCAAACATGTTGCAGTGCACTGTCACAACCTACTGAAAACTCCTTAACATATAGCCAACATTTTGGTAAAACATATTCATCATATTCCACTCAGTTAAACGTTGAAGGCTGGCCAACCGTCATGGTCCAGAAGTAACAGGAAATAAATGTTGAACTACAATTTAAGACCAAATAAAAACGTTTAGGCCACCATGGCAAATGCTGGTAGGGCTGCTCATGTCATCTCTTAAAGATTTTTTGCAATAAACACCAGCCTGTTTACATGGTCTGGTTTCAGAGATGAGCGCAGGCAGGTGACGATATTGCCACCTGTACTGAAGACCCTCAGCCACGCCCCGACACATGGGGTGACGCCGGCCAATCACAAAGCTTTGATGCGTTCAAGTGCATTATTCTGGCACAGGAAGATTATGTTACAGGACATTAAACAGAATATTGTTGTTCTATTTTTAGACACATCTCGCGATCGACTGGTTGGGCACCCCTGGGCTAGACCATAGGTCTGTTGTGGTAGCAAAGTAGTCAGCTGAAGCCACATCTCTCTCAACATCCCCACGGCATTTGTCACATAATACCGAATGAAATAATACCGAGACGGCATCGCGTAACGCTTGTCCAACGTGTTGACAAGTTGCTTAAAGCCCTGGTTGCTAACAGTGCTAACTGGGCACATATCTTTAGCGATGTGAAATGTAATGGCACCTGTAATATCTCTGTGTCTCTGCGAGCTCGTCGCGTAGGCCGTTGCTCTGTACAATGCGTCCTGAATCGATGACTGTGATGATGTGGTGGATGAAGTCGAGCGGGCATCTGCTTTTTGTTGTATTACTGCCCGGTCGTATTGCACTTTGTGGTTGTATTTCAGATGATTAAAGAGATTGGTTGTGTTAGCGTGTGGTGCCAACACAACCTGGTAACAAATCCTGCACTGTACTTTGTTTTGCTCCACGTCGGACTCCTGAAAGCCAAAGTACTTCCAAATAGTGGAAATAGTTGTACCCTTCTTTTTAACTAGTTGCTGCTCTTGTTCTGACATCTTCGCTCGCGCTGAACACTCACAACACATATCACTCCTACGTGGCCGAGTGGGCTTTTAGGGAGGGGCGAAGCGCACCCAGCAAAATAATCGTATTTTGTCAATTATGCTGTTTTCATAATCGTCGCAAGCCATAATCGTAATCGCGATTAAAATACGATTAATTGCACAGCCCTACGATGTATACAGAAACCTAAACAGCCATTTCCCCCCAGATTACGGGCAAAACATGACTTACTCACGGGTATGACCTCTGAGCTGCATTTAGATCATGAAGAGGAGACACAGGCCAGAGTGTTGTTGCTTCAACTTAGACTAATTATACTCATTACATCATTAGGGAAAGGGTCAAACGTCATATTGCTGCTTAAAACCATATCAAATGACAGATATTGCTGGCTTTTAGAGAACACAATAATTCACTTTGTTAGCATGACATGGGTTATTTTTTGATTCACGTAAGACACCCTTCAATCAAGGCTTAAATAAACACAATCTTTAAATCGCAATTTCTCCTAGCTCACAGTCCCATAGAATCTAAGAGGATCTAAACTGCCATAACTCCTGAGGCAGCACAGTAAATATTTACCTATTTGCAGTTTATGCCCACGTGAGATCTAAGGCAGAGGTCGCATTTCAAACAGATGACCCGGGTTCAACGTCCGCCTGTTGCAGTGTGGCTTTATCAGTTAGAATGAAAATGTATTTCTTTCTAGTTTCAGCAGGAGTTTCAAAACTGAGCCCAAAGTAGCAAAACTCACACATGAAACCCGTTTACTATCCTGTCACATCGACACATTGGCAGACAACCTTGACCCGCCATGTGTTACGGCAGCATTTACACATGCCAGCGTTGATCAAAACACTCGGCAGCTGCCGAACGCAACATTAAACCAGGTCACATTTCACATCTATGCCTTTTCTGTGTGGAAACAGACACCCTCCATTCCAAAAGCCCCGTCTGGTTTTAAGGCTTAATTAAGACACTTTGAGTATTAATAAATATCCAGAAACTCCATGTATCGCGTAACACTTATTAACAATGACATGTCTTATTGATTCATGATTACATAAGTAGGTAAGTGTTAAGGTATGCCTCAGAAAGAAATTGACATTAGCTGGGCACAGTTTCTTAAAACTATTCACGGTTGCAAGCAACAATTAATTGACTATTGATTAATCTGCCACATGCTTGGTCAATATATAACTAATTGTTTTCTCTGTAAAATGTCAGGAAATAGTCAAAAGATAACAAGTCCATAGGCCATGGTGATACTCACGTATTGCTTGTTTTGTGCAAACAGAAAATATATTTAATGAACTGTAACATAACTTGAAACAGGAAATCTTTGTGTCCAAGAGGCCGAGACAACAGCTAATCGATCACCATTTTTGCTAATTAATTTGTCAATAGACTAATTGATTAAGCATGCTTGCTTTTGTCTGTTTGATAACATTTTAAACTGGAGGATAAAGCACTTACTCCTTGCTGTTAAGGACCAGTATAGTGTCTTACTCCCTGTGCAACATAGCATTACATAACCTCATAAAAAGACAGTGTCACTTGAGTTATTAGTTGCCAAAGAGCGACAAACAGGGTTTTCGGCGTCTTTGAATCTAAATCTCAATGTTATCTTGAATATTTTGGCTCCTCGTCAAATGAAGCACTGTGGGCTGAGAGCCTTTCCCTTATCGCAGGTTTTCTTGGTGGCGTCTTGAGCTTTTCCAATTCAACTTGGATTTCATCGAGGATTATTATACCACCTCAAGTAGGAACCATTCATTTCCCCACTTCAGACAGTAATGAGCGAGCGGAATAATCATCTGCTGCACTGTGCAATAAATAAATAAAGACAGCACTTACACTTCAACCAACCCTAACTATTACCGTATTTGAGAAGCCTTTTAATTTCTCCTCAAAGACACCCCTGGGCTCGCTGTAAAAGGACAACTCCACTGCGACTTCAGATTTGTATTTTACCTTTCTAAGCCTTTAATTGGAACTACTTTTACACACTGGATATTTTATAAGCAAGATAGATCATTTCCAAGCAGCACAGAAATACAGATTTAAGTTTCATAAGCACATAACAGACAGTACAATGTTTTCCTTATCTGTTAAACGGTCTCCTATTATGCTATTTTTAGGCATGTATTATGGGTCTCAGATATATAAAAACCATATCTGTGGTCCCTGACACACTGGGGACACATATGTATGTATAAAAGACATCAAAAAGTGCATTTTGCATGATAGGTCCTCTTTAATAATAATGCACTTTTCCAGTAATCTCATTTCTGTTTATACACAAGAATAAGAATGCTGCCTCCAGGTCAAATGTTGTTCATCTTTCAACTCATGCAATCTGTGGTTGCGTTAGAATCTGCCTCCTGTCAATCATCGCCTAGTCAACAGATGGAGCATAGTGAAACCATTATTCACCTTTTCAGCAAGTAATGAAGTAAACATCACATTGATGTATTGTGAAACCGACCCACCAGTGCCTGGTTATTCACATCACCTTGAGGATAGATTGTCTTATTTCTGGTGGAACAGGGCTGCGACAATCAACTGCTGCCCTCTTGTATTTCTAACATAATTACTTCTAATATCTTTTGGCATTGAGTAACAGAAAAAATACCATATTTGTCTGTGCTGTGCAGGAAAAACAGCCCTTTGCAGCTTATTATCACCTCACTGACCCCACTGACATTTATTATGCATCCACCCCTGGGAAAGGGGTAAATAAAGAATGTTCTCCAACATGAAGGGTGAAAATGGTTCTGCTGTGGCGATTAAAATTACACATGGTATAAAAGTGGCTTAAACTGAACTGTGTGTTGTATAACAATTAAAAAAAGGTTAAACCCACCTACACCTGGATTACCTACCAACCAACATGTCCATGACCTTTTGAGCAGATATATTTTAGCAGCTATGAACAAATCAAAGATAAAAAGCTTATTAAGTGGCTATGAATGCAAAGTTGCCACTGTTATTTTTTATCATACAGGTTGTGGACCACCCCCTTAGGTTTGAACCACTTTTTATTTTCACTCCACATCTTTATTCATCTGATGTTAGAATTGACTAATGTTATTAATTGCACATCTGTTTATACTGCAACTTGTAAAATAACAGAGAGGATAGAGTAGTTATGTAATGGAATTTAGCTTAAAACCCAATTCGTACTGGTATGTCCCATGAGAGGCCCCTCAAGGACCAATTGAGGTCCCCATGCCCCAGCTTGGGCTCACTACTGATATTTAAACACATGTACAATGTATAGACAGACACACATGGAGGATGCATAATACTCTGAGTGGCAGATTTCCCCCTATGCACTGCATTCTCCACAGATAAAAACAAGCATTGCAACTCTGCAGAGGGAACAATATACTTCTCAACAGCTGTCAGTAAACCATGCATTACCCCCCCCCCCCCCTCCACACCCACCTGAAGAGCAGGAGAAGAGGAAAACGGCGAAGGCCAGTTTGGTGGCGTCTCCCATTTTCCATCCGAATCTGATCCTCTCACTAGAAAGAGAATTTTAAAAAAGAAGCAAAAACTAAAAAAAAGCCCAACAATCTCAAATTCAAGAGTCAAATTAAATATCTTGCTGCTCCACCGAGCTCTGTCTGTGCAAAAAGGACATCTTCAAAATGTCAATATCGAGGCTAAATCCACAAATCCCAGGCAATGCAAGCCTTACCAGTCCAAAAGAAGAAGAAGGGAGGAAGAGGAGGGGTGAAGAAGAAGCAGAGGGGATGGTTGGAGGTATTTCCAGGTTTACAGACAAGCAACGGAGGCTGTCTTGTTGGCATTCAAGCCGGGGTTGTCATATACTTGTGTGTGCAGCATTGTTATGAAGAGACGTGGTGTTGTTGTTGTTGTTGTTGTTGTTGTTGTGTTATTCTCACAGCAGCGGAGCAGAGAGCCAAGCCACAGCCGGGCAGGGCTAACATCCATCGGATTGGAAATCAAGCGCACTTCGCTCTCCCATCAAACTTCTCCTCGACACCCTCGATCGCATAGCTTTAAAACGATGTTGAAATAATCATTTAGATTCTCCTACCGCGGCAACGGGAGGCTGAAAACGTGTATTTTGTTGTTATATTCCGTGTGTAAACCTCCGTTTCTGCCGATAGTGGCGGGGCAGCTCTGTCCGCTCCAACAGGGAAACAATCGAGGCTCCCTCCACCGTGTTAGCCCTCTCCAAAGTGGGCCAAACAACCTTCTCCCGTCGAAATGACTTGAATGAACAAGTGGAAACACTATCATATGTTTGCAATAACCCCTAAAGCTGCCACTAATCCGTGTAGCTAATGCAGCTATCGAGTTTAGGACGAGCTGCTTTTCCCAAGTCCGTCTCCTCCTCGCCTCCTCTGGTCGGGACAATTTCAAGATGGCGTCACTGACCAATGTCAAGTCAACAAAACTCATGTATGAAGCTTCCGGTAGAGTATTTCAAAGTAAAATGTCTCAATGCAATGTGAAATTAGATTAGATATACTTGATTGATTCCAAGTTGTTTTGTTAAAAGCAGCATGTTAACAAGGCATGCACACAAATTACCCTTAAAAGCAAATATAGATTCATTATCAATGAGATGTAGGGCATATTACAAACTGTGCATTGTTTTATTTATTTTCTTTCTTCTTTAACAGCGTACAACAACGCTGTTAGCAAGTAACAACATTAGCAAGTGCAGTTATGGAGTGGAGAGTTCAAATTTTAAAACATTAAAAAAATGTCTTTCACTAAATGATATAGCGACTCAAAATTAAATATTAAGCCAACTCCCAGACTACTAGAGCTTCGTACGGAGGGATTCTGGCGAAAATGGTGTCTGGACGGAGATGCTAGCTGGTAGTGCAAACTTCAGCATCTAGTTGCTAGCTAAATATATATTGACTCTAATGTTGTGGAAGGCTGGTGGGATATTCTACGACGTGATTATTCACCATTTCACCACCAAGCAAGACAGGAGAATGGCCTTCCGAGACGAGTGAAATACACACCCCCTTTTCTCTGTGGCACTTCTGTTTACTGAGCTGCCCGTTAGCTGTGTGGGAAGTTTCAGGAGAGAACACAATTGTTTCTAATTTGCACTCATAACATGTTGCCGTTTGTATTTAGTATTGCCAATTATTACACATTTGTTTATCTTCATTTTGTAGCCGAAAATGTTCCATTTCCGGTATGAGCTTGACTCATTTCAAACTACTTGATGAATCTGCTTTAGGAGCTATGGATTGTTTTTATTCTGGAAGGCGGCTCGTTTTGCACTATGGCGTGTGCTGTTGCAAGAAGAGGGGCGGTCATCTTTTCAAAAAATAAGGAATACCCCAAAACAAACATAACATACACTGTACATACAAGTAAAGTGTTATTGCAGGCTACAAAGTGTGTGTATGTGTTAATAATATCATGTTGTATTGGCATATGCATTTTCCCAACCACAATATACAGCACACATAAACAACAGCTATGGGAGACCCTAAACAGCATCCATAGCCAATTATAGTGATGTTTCATGAGGTTTACATCACAAAATGTCTATTTTTACTCATCAGCATGCTCACAATATGTAGCCTGAGACTTTATGTAGGTCAACACATACATTTGCACCTACAAATAGCCTCACGCTGTAACAGTATGTGCTACTATATGATCATGTATCAGATTTCAACATTTGTTGGGTGTTCAGTAATAAATGCTGAGAATACCATGAAGTACAGATATAGGCCTGGCCCATTCCCAAATCTGCGTGACACTAATCTCTCTAATAGCCTGGAGCAGATCTCCAACCATAAGCGCTGCTAAACGATTAGGAGGTCAAAGGTCTCCAGGGATTTCTCTGCCAAGCTGGAAGCTGAGTCACCTGTTCTATATTGAAGTGTTTCATCTTCAGAACACACGGACCTGCAGCTCTTAGTGGTTAGAGCTTGAGTTCATTTCCTGTACATGATTTCCCCCTGGCAGTGATTTTGAACCTTCATCACAACTGACCTTTCTTTGTGGAAAGGGCGAGTAGGAGTCCTCGCCTCTGTCCGGGAAATGTTTATCATACCAAGGAGAAAACATGCATCCAAAACACAGCTGATTACACATAAGGGCATTGTCAATATGGTCTCCAATCACGGTATGATTAGATTACATCTCATTGTTACATTCCTTTGTCTTGCGATGAACTAATTCAATAACAGGAATTCTGGTTGAACCCTGCACGAACTCTTCACTCTTCACTTACCCTGCAGGATTTGAAAAAGCAAAAGTAGCAGGATTGTAGTCATGAATGAGGATTTTAAGATAATTGTATCTATCAATTTTCATTTAAAAATCTGTGTCATGCATCTATTTTAACACATCTTCCTTGACAGATATTATAAATCAAGGAGACCTAAAACATATCATCAGAAATTGGTTTACTGTAAGCTATTATCTTTCGGGAATAAATAGGAAATCTGCAGAATTAAACCTTGCATGGAGTTGAAATCGATACAAATTAAGATTACTGTATATATCACAATAAGCAAAATTACGTCTGAATTAAAATGTCTTTTTTATTAAACTTAAACATAATTTTTGAAAGTGTAACACCATTGCCTATAATCATATGACAGTGAGTTAAAAATTGCATCTCATTATTTATTATTATAACTTATAATTATATATATATTGAAATGCCTGCAGGATAAAGGAGTACTTGTGGATAAATAAAGTGAACTGCACAATATTTTAAGCTTTTTTAATACTTAGAGAAAGTACATTGCCCTCTCTCTGTTAATCTGTCCACCTTAATTTGTTTAGCAGCGTGTGTACACTGTCATGCAACCTAAATAACAGGAGCTTACATCTTATAGCACGGCACACTGATAGCTAAGCACACACGCTTCTCTCTTCCTGAGCCTTGTTGAGTCTCCACGCAGTGTTGGACTGTCGTCATACAGCTGCAGTGATGCAGGTACACATATACATAGAAGGAGAGTTTCCTGATGTTGAAGTGATTTCTTATTCAGCACTTAAAATGGCTGATTGTGAGAGAGATGAGAAGCTATTCGGTTTCAAAAGCTTTCCACTTGAATATAAAGTGGAAGTAAATAATGAGTTCTAGCGTTTAAAAGAAGAAACAAAGCTAAGTTAAGTGCAATTGAACCCAAGCATAAGTAAAATCTTTATTCAACATATATATATATATATATATATATATATGCAAGAAACCTCTCCATATGTGGTGGAATAAAAACATCTATTTCACATTTCTGTACAGTTTGTATCAAAGGAAATTGTTGCAACTTAAAAACCAATTAAAAGCCAATGTACATACTGTAACTGTCCAATGTAAATGACGTTCTGTAACGTGGAATAAGGTAATGAATAAACCCATGCATATGTCTCTGTTAGTTCATTTTATGGCAATACATATGTGTACGTGTGGGGGGAAATGAGCTAGGAGGAACAAAAGAGGGGCTTAAAAACACAAAAGGAAGATTAATACTACAGTATTAAGGATTTGTGGCTTTAAAACTTAAGTCCGTACATGCACTAGTTCTTAGACTGTGGGCATAAAAGGGGCCAGTATACTCAGTCAGAAGAATATGTTTGAAAACCCTCACCATATACCGACTATGTGTTCTGTATCTGGCTACTTCTGTAACCTCCCAAAAACGTTCTTCATTCTTAGTTTGAATGATTTCAAGCGAGAAGGATCAACTTCCTTCCAGAGGAGACCGTTGTAAAATGTGCACCATCATCCCCATTTAAAGACATCTTTAAATCAGATCAAGTATAAACACTTTGGGCAACATGTCAGCTACTTCTTTATGAAATGATAAATTCTCTTCCTTAATTAAGTGAGCTTTGTAAGATGTAAAGAAGCGGAACCTCAGTTAGTATTCAGACTTAGGGATGACTTGCATTCCGCTCATGGAAAAGGCTGGTTGGGTTGTGCGTCTCTCTGTCTTCCTTTGAGTGGGGAAGACCTCCACTTCTGGCCCTGGAGATTTACCGCACAGCTAATCCCATTACTCAACTATCAGATGCCAAATCCCCTCTAATGGCATTACACGTGCCAGAATTACGTATGATGATGCTTGCTAATGAGAGCTCAGCAGATATACCTTACTGGAACCAGTGGCCCTTGTGCACAGAGTAGCCCCGTGGCTTTGCAGCTTAATGGACTCAGTATTGAGTGTCGAGGGAAGTCAAATTTATCGACAAAGTGCTTTTAACAAAAAGCAGGTTGCTTGCAAAGTGCATCGCAGAGCAACAAAGGATGTAAATACATCTAAAACGACGAGCATGGTGAATAGTTGAAGGTAGAGAGCGTGTGTGTGTTTGCAACATGTGAATGTGTGTGTGTGTGTGTGTGATGAAGAGAGCTGCAGGACAACACCAAGGACAAGTGGACACTTAAAGATGTATGAATGATGAATGGTGAGATGAATTTTCCCATACAAAGCTCACATCGGGCTGTCACGTCCTGTCGCTTATGCAGAAGGTAATTTCAAAGGTGAAATGTGCACAAAAACAAAAAAGCCTTTTGAAATCTACTCTCAGTGTTTTCTTTGATTGCATCACAGGAGCAGAGGGTTAATAAACACTCATACATTCTCATTTGTGTGACTTCCTGTGGTCATACCTTGATGCTGAGCAGTATTTCCTGCTACTTTATACTTCTATTTCCCTACATGCCGAGGCAATTATTGTACTTTCTAAGATCGTTTCTTTATGGAGCTACTTAGGCACGTTGAAACAGGAAAAGGCCTTTTTTCAAGCTGTTGGCACAAAGTTGGAAGCACACTGTTGCACAGAAGTCTGTACATGATTTTGTTCGTAGAGCACACACACTTTAATGATCACCGGAAATATGTCACTACCACAAGTTGTTGTTAATGATACTTAAAAGACCACTGACTTGTTTTGCAAGAAATGTGCAGTATGAATAGAATCACAGTCAAATTAAAGAGGCAGTGATTTCCTTTAGTCCAATAAGCTTCCCGATCCTTTCTGGGATTGTTCAGCATCACTGTATAATATGTCTGCTCCACTGAGAGTGAACATGACATCGGAAGCCTCTAATTTGAATCTGTGGATGAAAAACAATGGAATGAGCAGGTAGTTCATGGGCCTGGCAGCGAGGCCGGTGTCGGCTCTCCAGCTGAAATCAAAGCCTCTCTTTTTGCTCTTAAAGCGCCCCGGAAAATGATTTATACGCCTGCTTTGGGCTTGTCGCGATGCCACTCAGAGCGATTTATCTTGTCTTGGCTCTGGCTCTCTGTAGCAGGAGCCAACCAACCTCTCCCTCCCCTCCTTTCTGTTGTTTCAGCATGAATGATCTTTTCCATTGACAGCTTTGTTCATCCCTGCAGGCAGCTCTGCACCTGT